GAGCGTTTCGCCAATAGCTTACAAGTACACCGCACTAAGGGCCACACTGTAGCTACACACACAGAACAGAAGGTGCAGAAATGCCTCAGAGTCTGTCTGGGGGTCAGGGAGGCTCCACATGAAGGAGTGATACAGCTAGTCAATCTGTAGTTATTGACTTATGTTCTAGGCACCATGAGAGATGGAAGAGTGGTTAGGCATGATTAGTGTTGGGAACTAATGCTGGAAGATACCTCTCAAGATCACTCACCAGTACCAAAACAGGGTAGAGAATCTACTTGTGAAAACAACCTTCACCTCTAGGTAGGGCTTTCTGGTAAACCTGGCCTTGTATCACCAGCCCTGCACATTTGCCTCCCTCTCATACTCAGCTTCAGATGAACAGAGAGACAGCCCAGAGGGAGGGATTGGGGGGGGGAGGGGCAGATAGAGCAGGTGGGAGGGATGTTAGACCACCCTCCCGGGGTGTTATAACCAGCTGGGAACAAGATATACCAGAGAGCAAGACTGGCATGCTGGGTGAGGGGCAAGAGCCTGCTCCCTAATGAACTGCGGTCCAATGAGTGTCAAGACTCTCCTTTATCACCCTTGGGGATGTGTGAACTGTGGAAAAGGAGGGGGCGGAGGGAATGTCCAGATAGGAAGATAATAAAGCGAGGTGTTTGGTGATAAAGTAAGAAAGATCGCCTGAGACTGAGCTGGCCCATCAGTGAGCACAGGGACCCCACTCTAAAGGAAAGACACATCCGGGCAGAGAGTGCCCCTCACTAACCACCAGGTGGCACAGTAGACCAGGCACAGCTTGGTTGCTGGTCTACTAAGGTCGGGAGTGCGCAAGAAAGTTGACTATCCAAAACCCAGCCTATGGACCTGCAATGGAATGTTATTCAGTCTTCAGAGGGAAGGAAATTCTGACATATGCTATGACACCAACAACCTTGAACACATGATTCTAAGTGAAATAAGCTGGACACCAAAGAACAAATACTTACACAAGGAACATACACCAGACAAATTTATAGAGGCAGAAGGTAGAATGGTGGTGGTCAGGGGCTGGGAGGCAGGGGGAATGAGGCATTACTGTTTAGTGGGGAGAGAATTTTAGTTTGGGAAGATGAAAAATAATCTGGGGTGGTGCCGGTGGTGATGGTGGCGGTGGCACAACAACATGAACATACATAGTATGATGGAGTTATAGCTAAGTTCACAGAAATGGCTAAGATAGAAAGTTTTATGTAAGAATAATTAGGCACACACACACAAAAAAGACAAAACACCAAACCCCGAATGTTCATACTGTTGTTTTATATCTGCCCTAAGTCCAGGGCGGTGGATACACCTTATAGAAGAATCAAGGAAGGAGGGAAATCATGTTTTTCCAATCCTGCCTGGCTCAACCTCTGTGTGTTCCACCTTGCCTCCCCAAATCCTTAAGTCAGCTCTTTTGGTATTCTGTTCATTCATTTATTAAAGGCCCACTAAGCATCTGCCTTGAGTCAGGCACTGAGGATACATTCTCCGGTGGCCACGCTATTTCCCACCCGGCCCCAGATTCTCCTTATCTGCTCCATTCACCTGCCTCCAGCCAACTCTTCAGCCCATATGTTTGCAGCTTCTCTCACCCAATTTCCGTTTTAACGAAGAATACTTTGCCCAGTGCCTTTGGTTCATATTATATTCTAAGAGAGGGTCAGAAGGAGTAACTCGCGAAATCTTGTGGAAGAGAAAGCCCTTAATCCGGTGATTCTAGAGGCACATACAGTCACCTTCTACTAATTTAGTTAGACTACAATATGTTGCAGCAACAAACAACTGTGAGATCTCTGCATGTGACACCGCATTTACGTTTTGCTCACAGTGCTTGGCCGGCACTGGTCGATGGACAGTGTGCTCCAGTCATCGGGCTTAGGGAGGCTGCACCCTCTTCCAGCTGTACCACCTAGAGCCACCTCCCACATACTGAGAGCAGGGGAAGGGAGAATGGGCAATCGCAGACCTGCTTTGCATCGCCTCAGCCAGAAGTGAGGCATATCACTCCCACTCCCATTTTATCCATCAGAAAAGATCATGTGACCCCACCTACTTGCACCTGGGCTGTTCTTCGTGAGCAGCACTAGCTCTGCAGCACTTTCTTTCCTCTGTGGGGTCACCATACCGATGGGTAAAACCTGGTTACTTGCTTGTGTGACTGTGCTGCCTCTGGGCTCTACTCCTCAGAAGGCTGGAGCCCTCACGATACTTCTGTGTAACTTTGGTGCTAGCATGGGGCCTGGCACGTGGTAGGTGTCCAGTGTTTGTGGACGGAATGAATGATGGCAGAAAGTCAGGTGACCTAGAAGGAAGGTGGAGGGAGTACCGGGAAGGGTCAGGTTGGGAGGAGCCACTCTACCTGAAAAATGAAGCAGAAAAGAAGAATCCTATCAGCTTTTAAAGCCAAAGTAAATGCAGTGGGATAGCCTATGTGTGACAGCTCGTTGATGGGTTACAAGGTGTCCAGCAGACAGTGAGAAGGAAAGCAGCACCCCCAGGTGCCAAGTAGATTTTGGGAAAAATCCCGATTCTAGAGCAGTTTCATGAATACACTAGGAATGGTGGGAAGGGTTTCATTTCTCCTAATATGTTTTCCAGAGCTAAGTTAAGAGTAGGGTGCCCTTCTGGGTTACCATGGCAGGAGCTTGATTTTATCCAACTGGTTTTCCCTCACCGAAAAATAAAAGGGATTAAGCTTTTTAACCTACAGAACTGCTGCTTGTTTAGAAAACCGTCAGTTTTATTGGCCTTGGTTGCAAAACAAGCGGGTTCCTCCAGATTCTAGAACTATCTAAGGGCACTTTCTGTTTCACGAAGGGTGACTATCCATTCGCTCTGTATCTGTTGTTCCTCGTTAACTTTTTAAGAGCCGATTTCATAATTCCCTCTGAAAACAGTTTCAGTTTGGACGATAAATTGTAAGGTCATCTGAGTTATAAGTAAGACTAATTGGCTGACTGAACCAAAAGGTGACCGTGGGTCCCAGGGACAGAGGAACTGACGGTTCGATTGGCAGACACACACCCAGCTGAGGCCGGCTGGGCACCTGGAGGGCCTGTTTCGGGACCAAGGGGTGGGTCCCCGGCTGGGAGGAAGCCCAGGTGCTTCAACCACTTCCTGAAGAGCGAGGTCTGGGTCAACGGATCCGAGGCTGGGAGGGGGCTCCTCACCCGGTCATTAGCTCTCCTCCCTCCCTTGGGGAGACGCCGGAGGCATCAGCGGGTGGGCTCCTTCTGGGTGGGACCGGCCAACAAGGTTTATTACCTCCTAAGGCTGTTTGTTATTCCTCTTCTTTGACAGTGGTCACAATCATTCCATCGCCGAGCGTTGGACACAGAAGTTGTGAGGGCGCCCACCGCGCAGGTCGAGGCTCCTAGTTCTTTCTACCAGCTCTGATTTAGGAGCCAAGTGGTCCAGCACTCGGTGCACACTATCTGATTTGGGGAGAGGACGGACCCTTGGGGGGAGGACTTGCACAAGGTCAACACAGCTCCCAGATGGCTGCAGAAAAGGCCGGCCCCAGGAAGTCCGAGCACACAGGGAGGGCGCCTCCCCCCCGCCCCCCGCAGCCCGCAGCCTGCCCTTCCGACTGCACAGCCCTGCAGGGTCCCCCCAACCGTGGAAGGACGGCTGCGCACAACAAAGGGCAGGGCGAGGGCTGGCAAGACCCGCCGGGGCCCCGCTAGACGCGCGGGCCGGCCCCCGCGGGCCACCAGGGGATGGCGCGCGGCGTCCTCCTCCCTCCGGCGCGAAAGCAGTCCCCTCGGAGCCCCGCTCGCCGGGCGGGGAGGACGCGCGGAGCCCCGCGGCGCCCGGGGGCCCCCAGGCCGCGCCCCCCCGCCCCGCGGGACCCCCGGCCCGGCGCCCGCCGCGTCCGCGCAGGGCGGCGGCGTCCTCCCGCAGCCACCCAGCTTCCCGGGGGAGGAGCAGCGCATCGCGCAAGCATCCGGGAGCGGCGGAGGGGGCGGGGGAAGGGCGGGAGGAGGAAGCGGGATTTAAACGAAAGGCGGTGACGCCACACAAAAGATTTCTATAGGCTCCGGGGAGGTGACGGCCGGGCGGCGGCGGCGAGCCCGGGGGCGAGGCGCGGACCCGGGGAGGAGGCGGCTCGGGCGGCCCCGGCGCACCCACGGCCCGCGGCGCGGAGCGGCCGCGCGGGGAGAGGAAGCGGGCGGCGGCCCCTGCGCCTCTCGGCCCCCGCCCTTCCTTTCAGTTTCTCCCGGCGCGCTCGGAAGTTGGAGGCTGGCGGAAATGGCAGGAGCCGGGGCCCGGGCGGGTGGCCGCCGCGCCGCGGGGACCTTCTGAGTCGGCGTGGCCGGGGCGGGGCGGGGCGGGCGGGAGACGCGCGCCGGGCGTCCGATGCGCAGGGCCCCAGGCGACCAGGCGACCGGGATGGACTCGCGCCCACAGCCAGCGGCCGGCCGCGGGGCGCGCGGTCGGGGAGGGCGTGCCGCCGGGGCGCCGGGCCGCGCGCTGTGAGCCGGCGAGGCGAGGCGAGGCGAGGCGAGGCGAGGCGGGAAGGGGCGGCCCGGCGGCCCGGGCGTGGCGGGCGGCGAGCGCGCGAGCGGGGCGGCCGCTGTGCGCAATCACTGCAGGCTCCCGCCCGACTCTGACTCTGCGCGGCCGCGCCAGCACCGGCCACACCCTCGGCCCGGCCGCCGCCGGCGCCGCTTCCCGAGCGCGGGAGGCAGGAGATGCGCGCCCCGCCGCGCCGGCCCGGGCCGCCGTCGCGGAGCAGCGCCGCCCGGCGGAGTCAGGACGCCTGAAGCCCACGTGCGCCGCCGAGCCCGGGCTGGCTGACAGCGGAGCGCGCCCGAGCCGCCGCCCGCGCTCCTCCCCGAGGAAAGGATTTTGATTTCAAAGAAAGGAAGGAAGGAAGGACGGACAACTCCCAGCGTCCCCCTCCCGCCCTCCCGCTCCGGCGGCCGGGCCGGGCCATGCCCAGGAAGGCGGCGGCGGTGGCGGGGGCGGCGGGGGCGGCGGCGACGGCGGCGGCGGCGGCAACGGCGGCCCAGCAGAAGGGACTTTCCTGGCGGCCCGGCGGCGAGGAGCGCGCCCCGTGAGTTTGCGCGGCCCGGTTCATGGTTCCTGCAAGCCCTCCCGGAGGCCGAACGCCGCAGCCCCTCCCCGCGCGCCCGAGAGCCTCCTGCGTCCTCCGGGCCCCCGGCCCGCCCCGCGCCGCCCGGGCCCCGGCCGCCGCAGCCCCGTGCCCCCCGCCCGGCGCGGTGGATGGCATGATGGTGCGGGGCAGGCGCCGCGGCCCTGGCCAGCTGAGTCGCGACGGCCGCGGGGGCGGCGGCAGTGGCAGCGGCGGCGGCAGCGGCAGCGGCGGCGGCAGCGGGCTCCCCAGCGGCATGCCAGTGCCCCCCGGGCGCGATGGCTAGCGGCAGCGCGGGGAAGCCCAGTGGCGAGGCGGCTTCTCCGGCTCCTGCGAGCGCCGTCGGGGCGGCCTGCTCGCAGCCGCGGAAGAGGCTGGTGTCCGTGTGCGACCACTGCAAAGGCAAGATGCAGCTGGTGGCCGACCTGCTGCTGCTGTCGAGCGAGGCGCGGCCCGTGCTCTTCGAGGGCCCCGCCGCCTCCTGCGCCGGCGCCGCCGAGTCCTTCGAGCAGTGCCGGGACACGATCATCGCGCGCACCAAGGGGCTCTCCATCCTCACGCACGACGTGCAGAGCCAGCTCAACATGGGCCGCTTCGGGGAGGCGGGGGACAGCCTGGCGGAGCTGGGCGACCTGGTGGTGTCGCTGACCGAGTGCTCCGCGCACGCGGCCTACCTGGCGGCCGTGGCCACGCCGGGCGCGCAGCCCGCGCAGCCGGGCCTGGTGGACCGCTACCGCGTGACGCGCTGCCGCCACGAGGTGGAGCAGGGCTGCGCCGTGCTGCGCGCCACCCCGCTGGCCGACATGACGCCGCAGCTGCTGCTCGAGGTGTCGCAGGGCCTGTCGCGCAACCTCAAGTTCCTGACGGACGCGTGCGCCCTGGCCAGCGACAAGTCCCGGGACCGCTTCTCCCGCGAGCAGTTCAAGCTGGGCGTCAAGTGCATGAGCACGAGCGCGTCGGCGCTGCTGGCCTGCGTGCGCGAGGTGAAGGCGGCGCCCAGCGAGCTGGCCCGCAGCCGCTGCGCGCTCTTCAGCGGGCCCCTGGTGCAGGCGGTGAGCGCGCTGGTGGGCTTCGCCACCGAGCCGCAGTTCCTGGGTCGCGCGGCGGCCGTGAGCGCCGAGGGCAAGGCGGTGCAGACCGCCATCCTGGGCGGCGCCATGAGCGTGGTGTCGGCCTGCGTGCTCCTGACCCAGTGCCTCAGGGATCTGGCGCAGCACCCCGACGGGAGCGCCAAGATGTCGGACCACAGGGAGAGGCTGAGGAACTCGGCCTGCGCCGTGTCTGAAGGCTGCACCCTGCTATCTCAGGCTTTACGGGAGAGGTCTTCGCCCAGGACTTTACCGCCAGTGAATTCCAATTCTGTGAATTAGCGCCCCGCGCCCCGCCCCCCCGCGCCCCGCCCCGCCCCTTCTTCCTCCGCCCGGGAGTGGAGGAAGACGACTTACCCTCCGCCCCTCTCCACGGATACCAAAGAAAATCCCAGGGAAGCCCCTCCCCGGCCGCGCCCTCCAGCGCCCCCGCGTCGGACGCTCGCAGGGAACCTTCCGGAGAGTGGGGCCGCGCGCCCCCAGCGCGCTCCAACGATGCTCGAAGCTCGAAGCTCGGTGCGCCCCGGGGGCCCTGCGCGCGCCCAGCAGGGCCTGCAGGTGGCGGCCCCCGCCCCGGCTCCCGGCTCCCGGCTCCCGGCTCCCGGCTCCCGGCTCCGGGCCTGGAGCTCCTCCGCTAAATTTTCTTATCAATTGGGCAGGAAAGGAGGTCATGGGTTCATTTCTTTTTTTGGTCTTTTTGTTTTCTCTCTCTCTCTCTCTCTCTCTCTTTTTTCTTAATTAAAAGAAAGGTTACCTCAGTTTCACTCCTTAGACATGGATGTAGCTACCTTTTTTTTTTGTATGTTGTAATTTTTTTTTTTTTTAAGCAATCGTGTTGGATTAGGCGTATACTTGGTGTGGGAAGAGTATGACTTTGCCATGTGATTTGCAAACGGGGGAAAAGCTACTGTGAGTGTGTGTTTTATTTTTTGATTTACACTATAGAGTGATTTCCCCCTGCCCTCTCCCCCCCCCACCCCCCACCCCCATGTCAAGTTTTTACCTTTGCATGTACTGGAGTATTTATTTCATCTATTAAAATGTTATGTTTCTCAGATGGCCTTTTGCAATTATTGTTGATTTTCAATAATTGTAATAACGTTGCATGCTGCATGTCATCTCTGGAAGGGCACGCCGGGAAGTGTAGCAGTGTCTCCAGGCTTTATTTAGCCCTGTCTCCCTTTTTCCTGGAGGGTTACCTCTCTGGGCAGCTTAGAGTTGCAGAAGAGAGACCTGCAGAGCGCTGGCCTTGCCAAGCCGGAGCCCATAGGAGTGATGGCAGTATGTGTGGTGGTGCCGGGGCTGGGCTGTTGGGGTGTTTGGTCTTGCCTCTGGTTTCTCCTAGAAAGCACTTCAGCTCCCTTTGTGTTGGCGCCTCTTTCTGCCCTGGGTCAGCCTGAACCAGGTCTGATTTGTATTCTTCTGTCTCTCGGATTCAGCCTCTTCCTTATCCCATGTGGTATGCCACCCTTCTCCGGTAGGTCGGAGGATCTGTGCACTGGAGCTGTAAAAAAAAAAAAAAAAAAAGTGTGGTATAGTGAGGACTTCCAGGAGTCTTGCTCACCTTTTTTTATGTGGGTGGGTCTGTTTATAGACAACATCCCACTCACGGCTTTAGGAAAAACCTTGGAGGGTTCTAGACTAATATATCAGAGGGAGAGGTATTCTGGAAAATGTGAAGAACTTTCTAGGGCCACAGCCTAATTGAAGACAAAGGGCTGATTTTTGTGACCTTGATTTAAGATCTGCCCTGATTCGCTTTATGTCGGAAGACTGCTCCGTTAATTGAAGTTTGGAGTTATTTTAAGGGAGTTTGTCCTTTCTGCAGGCATATTAAAAAAAATTGGGGAGGGAGGGCTATATAGTTTTGCCGAACCTTGTTAAGTTTTGGAAAGTTTTCCTCCTGAAAGGATAACGCATTTATTTGCAGTGCTTTGCCCTGGGAGAGCCAAATGGATTAAAAACAAAACAAAAACAAAAACAAAAAAAACCTTATACATGCTTTAAATTTGCTCAGTTTATTTTTTTCTTTGAATTTCTTGCACCTAAACTTTTGTAGTTCCCATGGATCTGAGAAGGAAGCATTTTTCACTATAGAGTGTTAGAAAGTCCTATTGACTGCTTTACTTGAATCACTGTATTTATTACAAGAACATCATATTCAACGAGTTAAGTGTCTTTAAACTTGTTTTGGGTAAGGCTAGGATTGGGGAGCTGCTCTGAATCTGATGTTTGGAAAAGCTTGAGAGTGACAGTGTACATCCATTTCTTAGGAACAGTCAAGGGAACTGTTGTTACTGTCGTAGGGCCTGGTAGATTTAAACTTTTAAAGTCTTTAAAAATGAAAATGACCTTGAGAATGTTTCTTCCTCTACCCCCTGCCCTTCTTCAGTCTGGGTCGGTCAGGTTCGGGAAGTATTTGGAAAGAGCAAACCTAACCCATGTGCCAATGACAACCCTGCTTGCATATAGGACTTGTAACTTACTTTTTATTTATTGGACATACATAAGTAATTATAGAGTTTCTAATTATGTGGTTCATTTAGCCTATGCAGATCACAAAGAGTAAATGGAAAGGAACAAAGTAAAACAAAATTAGGGCCAGAAATCTGTAAATTCAGTGTTTGATTAAGACAAAAATGATTGCCAATTGTTCCTTGGACTCATTCCTTTTGCAGAAGCAATTTTCAGGACAGTGCACGCCAGGAAAAAAAAAAAATAGCTTTCCCTATCTCCTTGGATGAAGTGAACTAGCTTGCCACCAAATTAAATTTTGAAATTTCTTTCTGTCTTAGCCAACCGATTGTGGCTCTTTACATTTCTGTATATTAAAAATGTTGAACTTGTAATATTCAAAATCTCTGTCCTTTGAAGTTGTTAAAAGTTTTGGTGGTATTTTAACCTGCTTTTCAGCCCCCTCCCCTCCCTTCTGTCTCTTAAGATAAAGTTTAGGATTTTTCTTCCAGCAGGTGGCTTGAAATGAATTCTTTTATTTTTTTCAGCAGGTCTCAGGAAACCAAGTGAGGATCACACAGCATTTCTGTGTGTCTGCGTTGCTTCGCTAGGCAGGGGATTTGGACTCAGGCCTTTGACATTTTAGCTCCTAGTGCACCGGCTTGCTAAACTTGTTTTTAAAATAGCCCTGATTTTTAAAAAGGAGCATCTCAGACCTATTTTATTGAACATAATAAGGCCAGCAGAGATAATAGTTCCAGGAATAAAATCTGACTGACCTGATTTTTTTTTTTTTAATTAAACCACATAGGAGTTAATTTAAGGCCTCAATCCTTGCACTCTTTTGACTTCCAGGGGCAAGTTTTCTTACACAGGCTTAACGGGCACCCGTCCTTACTGGGAATGTTGAAAACCTTCCTTTGAATGGTCAGGAGAGAAGGAAATCATTATGGCTAAGCTCTTGGAACAAAAGCCATTATTTATGATAGCCAACCCAAGTAAATGGGACAAAAGGCTTTCAAACACAAGACTTAACTTGAAAAAAGCTCTGTCTTTCCTTAGCTGTTTTAAGCTTGGCCTTTTGCTATTATTCATCCTGGGTTGATGTTCGGAAATGTAGAAATTGTGCGTATGTGCCGTGGGTGTGGGCGTGGGTCTGTTCTCCCCTACCCTGTCGTCATCTTCACCTGAGTTTTTATTTCTAATTTAGGGTCATGTGTTTCTCAGGAAAATCTGAAGACTTTATAGAAGCATCAGTTACATCTGATTGGTTATTTTGTGAACATTTTTTTTTTTTAAGCTGGCATAGGGATCTAAAGCATTTGACAGTTTGAAACAGCTAATTTTAACAGAAACACCTGTTTTTCGGAATGAATGTGACTATGGTAATGTGCAGATCAAGCAGAGGATTTGAGGAATGTCTGCCACAGCCCCTTCTGGGTTCTACTTGGTACAGAGCTCAGAGTCAGGGAAGAAATCTGTAGCCTTCCCTGCACTTTCCACCCAGGGCTGTACCTTGGTCCTCTGGTGCCCAGCACCATCTCTGGGTGTCCAAGGTGGACACAGACGTGTGTGCCCTCCTGGCACGTTCTTGATTAAAAACTTTTTTTTTTTTTTTTTTGTCTGAGTATGTGTGAAGTGAATTGGCCTGTTTTATCTAAGTCGGGTCTTACTTTTTAGGGTCCTATGGACAGGTGAGTTGTCTTTCCACTTTAGCATTAGAAGGCTCAAAGACGGACTGTCCAGATAATATAGGGAAAAAAGTGTGATACTAGTGTCCTTGATAGGGATTGATTTCACTTAACAGGACAGCAGTTTAGGTCAAGGGCTGCCATGCCTGGGACATACGTAATTGTTCTTGAAATGAATGTACATACAAGATCCCTGCAGCAAGTATACATATGCAAGTAGTAAAACTGTTTCTGCAAGTCAAAGTTAGAATGGCCATTCATTCAGAAAATACTTGTTGGGAACCAGCTGTGTGTGCCAGGCAGCGTGCTGGGTGCTGGGGGTGCAGCTAGATGGGAGACATGGTGCCTCCCCCTGCATAGACGGTGGGTTCCTCCAGGCCATACCAAGGGACTGGCAATGCTATTATTATCAGCATTATCCTGGGCCCTGCCTCAGGCCTCATCAATGAGAAACTCTGGGGGGTGGAGCAGTCTCAATTTTGTGAAGCTAGATGATCCTTATGCATGCCAACCTGGAGAACTGTGCTGGTCTGCAGAGCCTGCTGGTTTCCTTTTCTTCCTGGCTGACTCCGTGAGACCCAAGTGCTTCTGTATCAGGAGGCAGCAGTGTTTCTGCAAGTTTCTTGTTTGCTCAGGTTTTTTTTTTTTTTTTTTTTTCCTTTTTTCTCCTGGATATTTTGAGCCCTTCAGATAGAGAAGATAATTTAGTCTTTCCTGCCAATGTGGAGCTGGCAGGGTTTTCTTTTGCTGTGTGTATCTGGATGTGTTTACAGGGACAGAGTTCTCCCCCTCCGCCAACCCCCTTTGAGATGAACTGAAGTCATAGAATAGTAAACTAGCAAATGGGCTTTCTGTGTTCTTGCTTGTTGTTGCCTCTTGTCCTAGAAAACTGGGACTGGCAGACACCCTAATTAAAAATCAACCCTTTAGCTCTTGGCTGCCCAAGAAAGAGCACTTTGCTACTGAGTTTAAAGTACTCTATTCAGAACCAAATGAAGCGTGCAGACTTAACTCCAAAGCTCATGTTAGAGATGACCAAGTCGGTAATATATTCGGGAAGCATGTCCTTTAAGAGCAATCATACACCAAGAATTGGGATGATCTTTCAGAGCTTCCCTCCTCATGAGGTTGGTCCTGGGAGCTGGCATTGGCATCACCCAGGAACAGCGTGGGG